GACTTTTTTTTTTTCGAGAACCGTGAGTATGAATTGCGAGATAAAGTCACAATTGCCTTTTTCTATGCTGTGGTTTAAACAGGCTTTCATAACTAAAGTATTACTCCATGCAAAACCACAAGTAATTTGATCAAAATAAATTGATCCGATTAGTCAATGCTGTGGTAATGACATAAAACATTTACTCATTTCTTCAGCTGTTTACTTTTGCAGCCAGCCTCTAGCGGCCAGTTGATGAATTACAGTTTAAGTCACTTCCTTGTTGGCTTCACGAGAGAGAATGGGAGGTTGCCGCTCGGTTTTACCCAAAGTTAAAGAGTAAAAAAACGAAAAAAAGACAGGGCAATTGAACTCGTTAAATATCATTCTAATACATAGTTCATAAAAATGCAGCGTCATCAGTTTGTATAAAATAATACAGAACGTTTGAATGTTTTATGCACCATTTACACGCGTTTTCGTACCAACTAACATTTTCAAAATACGAACATTTTCATGAATCCGAAAATTTACGTCAGAACGACTTTCCGAATGATTTACACAAAAAATCGTTCTGCTTGTGTTTCATGAATGAGGCCCATTGTTTCTGACCAGATTTGGTTAAAATCCGCATACAGGAAATTAAATTGAGCTGGGCAAATACTACAATGATGTTTACTTGCAAATTTAATGATTTATCTGTATTATTAAAATAATTATTATATTACAATAATGATAATTTGTGGGAAAATGTGAGTTATTTTCTTAAAATAAGGTCACAATGCAAACAAAAAATAATCTTAAAACATATTATATATTTTTGATATGTAATGACCCTAAAATAGACGACGACTTTTATTTTCTTCATTATTTTCTTTATGATATATATTCTTAATTTTTTTGGGATCTATTTCAACTTTGTTCAGAGTTGACCTGAATTTTTCATTATAAAATGTTGTTCTTCTACTGTTTCAACCTGTTCCGTGTTATCACTGCGCATTGACACATTGCACCAATGACGTTTTTTAACTATAAGGGGAAATCAGAAACATGAGTTTGAAATAATTGCATAATACCATAATCTGATATTTCACAAGTGTTCTCCAGGTGCTCAACTAATTTTTTTTTAAACTTGTTTCCACCAAAAAAAGTAATCGTACAAGAGAAAGCGAGCGAATGAAATGCATCACATAGAGCAAAACAGGTGAAGTGTTTGAGAAACGGCCGAAAAACAACCACGCTTTCTTTTCTCACGTTGCAGTTGTTGTGTGTATTCTTTTTTTAATGTATCAAAGTCAAAGAACTATTGTAATAAAACCGGTATACTGATAATTGCATTTACTTTCAAGATATAAAAAACAAATATGAGGTGACAAACATGATTCTGCTGCTTGTCAAATAAACAAATAAAAAAACACACTTTTTTCGTAAATGTTTTAAGAATGACTTCATCGTCAGTCAATATTAAAGGTGAACCTCAATATTTTTTCTAATGGTGCATTCAAATCATGTCAGAAAGATCATATGAGTAGTACTGGGTAGATTACTTACAAATTGCAGTCAGTTACTGATTACTAATAACATGATGAAAATTTTTGTCAATAATTTAATCTACTGTAGATTACTAATTGTAGGCAATGCATTCTGACTACTTTTGGGTTTCGTTTAGATTACTTTTGACTTGTTTATATATTTAAATAGGATTATAAGTATACCAAAAAGGAGAATTATTTCTCATTAACATCGTGAAATGCATTAAACATTACTTTACTCCAGGGCTTCCCAAACTGGAGTAAATAAAAGAACTGCATATATATATAATTTTTACTTTTTTACATTTTTTTACCTGCATGGCAATGTCACCACTCAACAGCATCAGAGAACATGCAAATGTGTTGTTAAATTATTGAAATATTAATTTTATTAAATCTCAGGGGGGCTTCAAGTAAATATTTTAGGTCAAAGGGGTTGGGCTGACAAATTTGTGAATCTCTGCATCACATGAAATATTAATAAATATGAAAACAGCAAAGACGTGGTCAAAGTCTTCCATTTTAAAATATTTTTGTCAGTTATACGTCAGCAGTGTTTAGTAACTTTATTGTTTCATGCATAGTATACTGTAGCTGCCTGAGAGGTGCTTTTGTCCCCAAATTCAGAAGCGTGGATCGCAAATGAATGTACATTACATACTGTAAATATTCAAAGCTAAACAATATGACACACAGTATTTGGTGTTTGTGTGAATGACACTGTGCACCTTCTATATATGTTATTATTTAAAAGCTGCTTGTGATGGGCTTTGGTTCATCATGTGACTTTCTCATCACCACCTGCATTTGGTGTTTATCAGTGTATTACAAAGGTACAAAACAGATTTCAGTACTTCATTGGGTTGGTATATTAACATTATATCAGTTAATGAAATTACGGTATTTAACTGTAAATTTAAGTTAAAACCGTAAAACCTAAAATGTTGCTACCATAATTTTTACGGTAAAATTCTGCCAACCACAGCTTCCGTTTTTTTACCGTAAATTTTATGGAATTTTTTTTACAGTGTAAAGTGAGTGAGTAGAATTTTGACAGTCATGTGATCTCCACATAGGAGAGCATCCCGCTGCCATGCAGGATAAAATAACTTATAATGCTGTGTTCATTTCATATTAGTGTACACCATTTTGAAGATGTATTGAAACTCTCTTTTTTTTTATGGGAAACTTTTTTTTACTGTGGACAAAATGACCTAGTTTACCCTGGTGCACCAAGGACTGCAGGACTTCTGCGGGTTTTGCTATATTGGGATTCTTTGTGAGCAAATCTTAGTCAGCAGCCTGTTCACTCTCAGCTCCTCCTAACTGAGGATTCACTCCTAATGAGACCCATATGGAGGTTCCTGACCAAATCAACATGTCTACAGTATGTGTGTGTCATCAGCAAAACATTTCTGTATAATATACAGCATCTTACGTAAGCCTGACATTTTGCAGATTCAGAGATGTCGAGTCACTGGATGCTACAGAAAGTAATCTTCATTACAAGTGAAGAGCAGATACTTTAAGATAAAGCATCTTTTTCTACCACAAGGGGGTGTTATGCATTATAAAAATCTGAATGAATTTTTAAATATAATATTTCCATTAAAAAATCCAGAGTGAAATCTCTGTCTAACAGAAAATCTCAGTGTCTGAACATTGAACACATATCTAGAAACATGGTTTTGATGCTTCGTTATGTGGCTAGACAGACACAAACCCATCGATCCAGATGTTTGTCTCCATGGAAACACATTTGTTTTGTCCTTTGCTGTCCTTCTACTTAAATTGAGGCTGCAAACAAATAACAATTTGACCTAATGCACCTTCTCTCTGTATTTCTCCCTTTCTCTTGCTCATGATTAAGAGCATCAGAAAAATGGAACTTAATTTTTAAATAAAACATTTATAAAACATTTATTTTTTAAATAAATTATGCAGGATAAAATAACTTATAATGCTGTGTTCATTTCATATTAGTGTACACCATTTTGAAGATGTATTGAAACTCTCTTTTTTTTATGGGAAACTTTTTTACTGTGGACAAAATGACCTGGTTTACCCTGGTGCACCAAGGACTGCAGGACTTCTGCGGGTTTTGCTATATTGGGATTCTTTGTGAGCAAATCTTAGTCAGCAGCCTGTTCACTCTCAGCTCCTCCTAACTGAGGATTCACTCCTAATGAGACCCATATGGAGGTTCCTGACCAAATCAACATGTCTACAGTATGTGTGTGTCATCAGCAAAACATTTCTGTATAATATACAGCATCTTACGTAAGCCTGACATTTTGCAGATTCAGAGATGTCGAGTCACTGGATGCTACAGAAAGTAATCTTCATTACAAGTGAAGAGCAGATACTTTAAGATAAAGCATCTTTTTCTACCACAAGGGGGTGTTATGCATTATAAAAATCTGAATGAATTTTTAAATATAATATTTCCATTAAAAAATCCAGAGTGAAATCTCTGTCTAACAGAAAATCTCAATGTCTGAACATTGAACACATATCTAGAAACATGGTTTTGATGCTTCGTTATGTGGCTAGACAGACACAAACCCATCGATCCAGATGTTTGTCTCCATGGAAACACATTTGTTTTGTCCTTTGCTGTCCTTCTACTTAAATTGAGGCTGCAAACAAATAACAATTTGACCTAATGCACCTTCTCTCTGTATTTCTCCCTTTCTCTTGCTCATGATTAAGAGCATCAGAAAAATGGAACTTAATTTTTAAATAAAACATTTATAAAACATTAATTTTTTTTAAAATTTTTTTTTTTAATTAACTATATATATATATATATATAGTTTTGACAGCGGGAAAAACCTTTTTACTCAAAAGAAACGTTTGAGCTAGTATTACTTATAAACAAGTGCTGTATCTCTGTCCAGTGTCTTTGCTGAAATATTAAAGGGATAGTTCACCCAAAAATGAAAATTTGATGTTTATCTGCTTACCCCCAGGGCATCCAAGATGTAGGTGACTTTGTTTCTTCAGTAGAACACAAACGGAGATTTTTAACTCAAACCGTTGCAGCCTGTCAGTCATATAATGGAAGTGAATGGGAATCATGGCTTTGAGAGTCAAAAAAACATACACAAACAAAACCAAATTAAACCCTGCGGCTCGTGACGATACATTGATGTGTAAAGACACGAAACGATCGGTCTGTGCAAGAAACTGATCAGTATTTATATCGTTTTTCCTATGGACACTCCTAATTGAGATTGTAGATAGAGTGTCAATGGTCCATTTGAGAGATAGGTGGCGGTAATGCACCTCACCGCACTTATAAGTCTGCGATCCACCGTAAAGCAAGAAGAAGAAGAAGACGCGTCTGGGGACGCGCTCAGGACAATTTGGACATTGCAGTGCATCAGAGGTAAAACACTTTATAAATACTGTTCAGTTTCTTGAACAGACCGATCGTTTCATGTCTTTACCAAACAAAACCAAATTAAACCCTGCAGCTCGTGACGATACATTGATGTGTAAAGACACCATTGACACTCCTATGGACACTCCTAATTGAGATTGTAGATAGAGTGTCAATGGTCCATTTGAGAGATAGGTGGCGGTAATAACTTATAAGTCTGCGATCCACCGTAAAGCAAGCAAGAAGAAGAAGACGCGTCTGATCGTTTGTGTTCTACTGAAGAAACAAAGTCACCTACATCTTGGATGCCCTGGGGGTAAGCAGATAAACATAACATTTTCATTTTTGGGTGAACTATCCCTTTAATGTATGTTTATAGCAAATTTCTGCTTATTTCTGAAAAGTGGCAAAAGTTAGAAAGTTATTTTGTCTCTTTTGAAAAAAAAAACAATTTCTTACAAACTTGGAGCATGTTTTTTGGAACATGACAGATGGTTTATTACTGACTCAAGGTGGTTTAGCTTTAAACCAGAATAATTAAGAACTACCAACAGCTGGAAGTCCGTCATATGATTCATGTCCATCATCTAGGCCAGCTAATGTTCATAAATGACTGACATGGCCAGGCATAAAACCAGCGTTATCAGACGGCTAACTGATAGACTGCCACACGTAATCTCATCTACAGTCAGACATGAAAAATGTCCAGGCTATGATAAGCTTAAATAGGATGTAGACCTTATAAATAATTAAATAGCTAATAAATTGTTAATTGACCATACAATCATCATAAAAACCACAATTAAAGTTTTGCAGGCGATGTGTATACTTTACAGAGATTTATTAATGAGATAAATCTAATTTACTCCTGGATCTATGTTCTAGATGTTGAAGCTTTATCACTGATGAAGTCAGGCAAAATGATAAAAGTTTTTTTTTTTTTACCCAATATCCCATTTTTGCACACCACAGGAGTAAAGAACATACACTCTTAAAAACAAGGTTCCAAAAAGGTGTTTTGAACAGTGATGTCATAGAAGAACCATTTTTGGTTCCCTAAAGAACCTTTCAGAAAACAGTTCTCAAAAGAACCATTTTTTTGTTTGTTTCAAGATCATTTAAAAACCTGAAGCGATCTTTCTACTCTAAAGAACTTTTTGTGTAGTGGAAAGTCTCCATAGATGTTCAAGGATCATCATGGAACCTTCAATGGCAATAAGGAACCTTTATTTTTAAGAGTTTTCTGGTTGCTCAAAATATGAATTAGCCTACATCTTGAATATGTAGTGGTGTATAATTGAAGCTGGGACTAGTAGGTAGCGAATAGAATAGCAACTGAAGAATATAGCAGCACTTAACGAGTCTAAAACCCGATGATGACCCATTTTTGCCCACCCACAAAAGCACATACACTCTTAAAAATGATGCCATAGAAGAACCATTTTTGGTTCCCTAAAGAACCTTTTAGAAAACAGTTCTTAAAAGAACCATTTTTTCCCCTTAGGTTTAACCTAATGGCCCAAGGTTTCACCATGAACCTTAATAGCAATAAGGAACCTTCACTGCAAACAATGCTTTTCTTACTTAGATTTTTTGTCTTGTTTCCAGCCAAAATATCTCAAAATTCTTAAATCAAATAAAAATGATTGTCTTGTTTTCAGAAAAAAACAAGTCAAAATTAAGTGAGTTTTTGCTTAGAAGAAGCAAAATAGTCTGCCAATGGGGTAAGCAAAATAATCTTATTTCAAACAGAAAACAAGATTATTTTTACTTAACGAGTCTATAAGCTGAAACAGACTACACGAGGAGCACACTTTGAAACAGCAGTGAGTCAGTGTGAGTCTCAGAGAGAGCTGTGAAAGAGCGCGTGGGAAGCCCAGCCCACGGTCACTTCACCGCGACACACGCCGAACAGGTGCTCCAGTCCCACCTGAGGAGCACAACATGAGGATTCATCCCGCTTTTTACCTGTACGGATACAATGCTGCCGTGGCTTAACGTTACTGAGTTTTCCTGAAGAGTTCAACACTTCTCTCGCTTCCCTGTGGAGGAGTCTCTGGGAATATCGGGCGAATATGAAAGTGACAGTGTGTTTTGGAAGGACGCGGGTGGTCGTTCCCTGTGGGGATGGGAATATCCAAATACACAGTCTTATTCAGCAAGCGACAATGAGATATAAAAAAGCCATAGCCAAGGTAAGTCGAGTGTTTTTGTTTTTTGAGGAAACACAGCGTCAACTCCGCTGCTGCTCTCAACATGGCGCTTTTTCTGGAGAAAGAATGAAAGAAAGATAGATAGGAAAGAACAGGGAAGAGACCGTCGGTGAAAGGGTCCGCTTGAGGTGTTTGATTGTAGATTTCGCGTTTGTGTTTGTTACGTCACAAAGAATTGTTCGTTACATTGTTGCAACTTCGGCGCGCGCTTGTGCGTTCGGCTTCGAAACTCCTTCCAAGAGGACAGACACGTCGGCTGTTATAACCTCGTATGTTACAGTAAAATGCATTACAGTGTTTGCAAGTAAACAGAGCGTAGGAAGAACTTTAGAGGCACGGATGGAGGGCGAGGACTGGAAACTTCCTTGGAAATCAGCTGAAGCCTGGATCCACACATGCAGCCTACTCAGTGTTGCTCGCACATTATTTGACATTCATGATGAATGGTGCTTTCTATACCTTTATATGTTATTATAATGGCTTGTGTGGCTCAGTGGTTAATGGTTATGGATAAGGTTACAGGTTCAAGCCTTCAAAGTGTTGATTGACAGGGATTCGATGGTCATGAACAACCTGGAAGTAGGACATTTGGTGTTTTCCAGGATTGGAAAAGTCATGAACTTTCTGTGTTGATTATAGATAATCTAGTTCCAAGTTGGAAAATCCAACGTGTAGCTGGTCGACAGGTTACTATGTTCAAAAAACCAACCTGACTCCTCTAAACTGGTAAAAACAGCTGTTACCTGGTTTGATGGAAGTCTGAGATGCACACCATCTACTATATCCCAAAACACAGCTATCAAGCGTTTAAACTTGAGAGTTTGTGAAGAGTAAAACTTGTTTGCAAGCCATGGTTATGCTCAGTTTATGAACATATTGTTTTTTGGTGATTCATTTCAGTCCTTATCTTATAAGTGGAAAGGTAATGGAAATTCATTGGTCATAAAAACCCAACAAATTTGGTCAGAAAGCCACTGGACATGCAGACAAAAAACTTGGAACAGTTACCAAATGTTTTCTCAACGGTGGTCATAAAACTGAAGGTAAACTCTTTGCTACTAAAAGAGTTGGCAGCTGTGCACCGGTTATAGTATGAATGTGTAGTCACGTGTTCATTTTGAATTCCTAAACTGGACAAATTAACTTCCAGATCTGCTTTCTGTATGCCACTTGAATCAGGATTTGGAGTAAGAAAGAACTTAAATACACTGTTGCCTTTGGCTGAAGCTTCATGTGCATGCTTGTGAGTAAAACAATTTATCCTCATTGTGTAGTTATTGAGAAGCTTTGAGAAAATTTTACCACTAAAGTTGCAGAACTTGGGGAAAAAAATGAACATTTGAGTGCAGTAGAGGAACTTGTATGCGTTCCAGCTCAATGAGGTGTAGCTGTTTAATTATTATGTTGATTTTTGTCAGTAGACGTGTAGATGCTGCATAGCTACAGGCTGTATTGTTGTTGTAAAAGGGCATTAGGTTCCTGCGTGTCTTGAGTTGGCATCAGTGCTAATATTCCTGCCCAGATCTCAACAATCTGCTGTTAATATTGGCATCGCGTCCAAGCACTTCTGTTCTACAGGCCTTGAATAGTTTGGTGAACCAACACTGATATTGCCAGGATTTCTCTTTTACAGAGTGTTTCTTGAGTATGGAAAATTGAGTTTGCTCCTTGCATTCTTGTGAATGGATTGGCAAGACTTTGGCAGTTTTTTTTTTTTTTTTGCGTGACAAAAGCATTTTTTTTTTTTTTTTTTCAAGAACTCTTCCACACATTTGTGCATTTTTTTTTTTCCAATGTTAAAATACTTTTTCTATCTCAACTTAGAGGTAATTCAAAGTAATTCATTCATAGGCTGATTTTCCTTAAAATTGTAAACGCTTTCAAAATGTTTTCTGTTTGTTTAAACATCCCGACCTGTCTGATATAGCAATGGCTCAACCAATGGTCAGAGTTGGGGGCGGGGCTGAATGTTTGGCTGACCAATTGCAGATAAGCTTAGTGTTTGGGGAAACCTGTTTAAAAACGATTACTTGTTTTGTTCAATCACACTGTTTTATGGGGTATCAGGTGTATCCAGTCTGTGGACTGAATGAAATACATGATATGAAATGCAGTATTTATTGACAAAAATGCAGTAAATTAGACATGCTTATGTTCTTCACAGAATGTGCATTTTGTGAATGAAATGCATTAAAATGCATTAAATGCATTAAAGGGGTCGATTTCTAGTCGTGTCCTCTTTTGGAAGACCAAACAAAGTGGTTTTGCGTTCACAACGAAACACACAGCGTCACACACGGCGGCCTAGAGTAAGTGGCAGCCGGCGGATTCGACGAAGGAGCGGCAACCACATGTGACGACCCCGGGCTGGACTCCGCTTCAGCAACAACAATACTACAGCGAGAATAAGTTACGCCTTCTTTCTTTCCGTGAACATTTGAGCGGCTTTATGCAAATCTTCCCACATAGTGAGGTAGATATGTGGGGGCGTGTTAGAACGAGCCGTTTTAGGTAGGCGTGGTTGAATCTTAACTTTTATAAAGAATATCTCTTTGGATTTGAGACTTTAGTCTTTGCAACTTTACAGATCTTCTTTATGCACCAAGAGCTTGTAACACTCCAAAGAGAAAGGAAAACTTGAAATCGCATCATGTGACCCCCTTAAAAATTCAGTTTTTCGAAAAATGAACATTTTGCAGACAAATGCATTTTGTGACATGCTGAGTATTTTTTTCTGTTGTTTATGAAACAGACATAATATTGTTTATGAAATTAATGTTACGGTTTTTGCGAAATGAATGTTAAATTTTCCACAAAACAAACATTCCTTTTTATGCAAAGTGAACACTTTGTGGACACATGCATTTTGTGATGTGCTGGGAGCATTTTGTTAGCAAATTTGTTTTCTTTTGTTTACGAAATTAATATTAAGGTTTTGCAAAATTAACATTACATTTTTTTTTGCAAAATTAACAGTTAGGTTTTTTTCGAGAAAAATTGATCTTGTGACATGCTGGGTGCGTTTTGTTCATATTTAATTTGTTTTCTGTTGTGCATGAAATAAAAGACACATTCACCACCATTAACAAAATGCAAGCATGTTTTATACACAAAATTTTAATTACATTTTAAGTTTGCAGTCGTGAATTGCTTTACTTTACATACAACATGTGACTGTGCTACTATCTTATTGCATTTTGTCATGAAATACTGTGTTTTGTCACATAATTCATTCAGTTCACAGAATTAGTCGGTTATGCTTTGTGCCCTATACAGTTCAGTGATGCTAACGATGCAAAAATTTACACTTTCAACTCCACAAATCCATGCGATAAAACTTAAGACTGAATCAAGACTGTATTTTGCAGGCAGGTAAGTCTAGAGAAACCTCAGCAGTGTGTGAAGGTCAGTCACTTAGGTCAGAAACCTAAGCTGCATCACCTTGAAGAGCCCTCACGTTGCAACTCAACACTCAAAGAAGAGTGTGCGTCCTGAGTCGTTCCCTTTGCATTTTCGTTCTTTTCATAAACAGGCTGTCCTTGCAGACAGCAAAGACTTCGATTCAACATACATGGCACACACCCATGCTTGTATGGCTTAGCAGGCACACCCTGTACCTCTGCCTCAGCAGAACGATTGCGGCGACCGATTGATCCACACGCGAGTAGGTTTTCCCAGCGGAGTGCTGCATGCTCACTCCAGAGCACACTTCATTCTGAGGACGGCTCAGTGATCTGCTGCGTAAGCGGGAGTGTGAGAAGGCTGAATTAGCATGTGATCTATAGGGAGATGCGACTCTGCAGAGAGAACTCAAGCTCTTCATCAATAACCCTAATAAATGGGCTTCTTTCTTCGGGACACTCAAACGTTTCCTCCTCTGCTGTAAGACTGCTGTCTGCAGCCTTTCCATTGACTTTCCCTTGAGTCGATATGAATCCAGTATGCAGGAAGTGGCTGCAGACAGGAGTCTTGAGATGGAGGATGAAAGATGCTTGTAGATGAGCCTATTTATTTGTTTTATTGTTGAGTTTTGTCTCTCTTCTGCTGTTGTGGGACAATGATGCTGTTTTTAATGTAGTTCAACCTTGTTAATTAGAAAATGTTAATATTACATCAGTGAGGTGAGGAATAATGATTTAGGTGAATCTCAAGAGCCTGTCAAGATCGAGGGCCATTTTTTTTGTTTTGTTAAAATTAGCATAGATTGTAGACGGTACAATAGATACAAAACACATTATGTAAATTAGGACTTTCAATTGATTAAAACGTTTAAATGCCCATAATAGGCTTTTGTGTAAAATTACATTATATTACACATTAGGTTACATATTTTATGACATGTTACTGGTTTGTGAGTCAGTTCCTTTGGATAAAAGCATTTGCTAAATGTAAATGTACATAATTAATTGCATCTAGTAACATATTAACTTTGTAGTATTATTTTTGCATTATAGTATTTAGAATGATAATTTGTTTGGATTATGGTTATAAAAATAATTAAAAAAATGTATATTTTTTTTTACATATAATGAAAATTTATTCTATATGGTAATATTTGCAACATGGAGATAAAAATTAACAGTTAAAAAAGTACTAAAAATAGCCTTTATTTAGAAACTCATATATTTATTTAGCTTTCTTTTAAAGGGTTAGTTCACCAATTTTCAACCAGCTTTGTATTGTTACAGTGTTGAAAGTACAAGTGAATGAACAATGTGTATTTTTGTCATGTTGCCTACAAGATATTCCTATTTATTCAGCAAAAGTCAGATTTTTTTTGGCTCCAGGGCTTATGTGATTTTTTTTTTGCATTAGTCTGACTGAGCCCAGTGCATTATGGGTATTGCAGTTTTTCTACATCTACTTCACCACAGCCCTTTTTGTCAGTTTTCTCTAATCATGTAGCACAGATGTAAATAACAATTGTGTTTCTATTGCATAGGCAATTTTATTAAAACCCCATCTTGGCAGCGGTGAATTAC